GTGCGAAGACGAATTCCCGAAAACGAATTCCAACCCGAAGACGATCCCGAAAACGCATTCCGTCCCGAAGCCGAATTCCCCCCCCGAAGACGAATTGCGAAGACGAATTCCCGAAGACAAATTCCAACCCGCAGGCGATTTGCGCAGACGAACTCGCCGGAGCCAAGCTCCCTCCCGAAGCCGAATTCCTCCCGAAGACGAATTGCGAGGACGAATTCCCCGAAGTCGAGTTCCCCCCCGAAGCGGAATTCACCCCCGAAGACGAATTGCGAAGACGAATTAACCGAAGCCAAATTCTCCCCCGAAGCCGAATTCCCTCCCGAAGACGAATTGCGAAGACCCGAAGATGAATTCCCCACCAAGACAAATTGCGAAGACGAATTCCCTGAAGCCAAGTTCCCCCAAGAACACGAGTTCCCCTCCTGAATGCTGTTGAGCAAGCATGCTGACAGCGAGCGTTCGTGGTAATCTCGTCCCCTTATCATAGACGGCCCTACATAGTAGATGCTTTTGTCAAAGCCCTGAAAGCCCAATGCTTAACTTGAATAGTCATGCAATTTGAAACTAATATTGATCTATCAATGATCCTCTGATAGGGGGCCCGCTGCACTCGGCCAGTCAGCGTTTGTAAGAAAAGAAGACCCTTTCTTGAAAACAGTTTTTGTTAGACCTGTCGGCTTTCACTCCGTCCCCGCCAGAAGTGGTTAAAAACATAAACACTGAACACCCAGCACCTGGAACCGGTTACAGACGCGCAGTTGGCATGTTTGGGTTGTTTTCTGGATAGGGGAAGGGGTTAGTTTAGCAGGAGGTCGCGCAGATTTATTTTGTCAAGGGTTTCCTTCTTGTCCCCCAAATATTATCCCGCCTTGGGAAGCTAAACCGTCAACAGCCAAATAGGCGTCACGCGTAACCCTTATCCCAACAAAACAGCAGGGGCAGGAGCGAGTCAGATAATACAAGGGACAAGCTCCATTTTGACTCAAACAGAACCAAGAGCTTTCGTAGTCAGAAAAGACCTTCACCCATCTGAATATATTGTATATGTTTAAAACAAACTGATTCACGCACTCCGATTGAACATGCGGTGAGACCTGAATCGGGGAGTGCAATGATCCAGCTCCCTGGACTTGCGTGCGACACAAACGGAGCACAAACGGACAAGCAAAGTAGGCGCAAGTTTGGGGCACTTCAACTCCCCCTTCTACAAATACAGGCCCAAAGCTAAATGTTGAAAGGTCATTTCAGCCCTCGTGGTAGAGCTGGCTAATTAGCTCTGCATCCGCAATCATCCTTTCGAAGAACAAAATCTTCTTGGATGCCACCACTTGTTCCACGTCATGCGAAGGTACTCCTTGAGCTTCGTGGCAGTGAGCGACCTCATACGGGCTTCTTGTGATAATGTTTCGAATTGCTTGGTTGCTCTCAAATCCAAAAGCTCCGCGGGTGTTTGCAGCTCAGGGCCTTAAGGACAAAGTCCCGGGGCTGAAAGAAAACGCCGTATGTTGTAATTTTCTGTAAAGGTGCGTCCTGAGTAGAGCTCGCTCCCCCCCCTTTTACACGTGTCGAACACCATGCCCTGCGACTCCAACTCATCCAAAATTTCCGCAGGTTTTCTTGATTTCCCCCTGGTTTTCTGATTTCGCACGCTGCGTGCTCGTGCTGATTGTCGCAGATCAGGCTGAGAGCAGACAAACCAAAATTTGCCAGAAAACTGGTCGACTTCTTCTTCTTCTTGCTGCCGAGCACACACGCATGGCAATTGAAAAAGCGAAAGCCTGGCAAAGCGCAAGCCCATTGGAACCACGCTGTGAGCCACGTGAGACTGCGAGTGGGGCTCTCAACGACGACCACAGCACTGCTCTCGGAAGCCTCCTCGCATACTCTTGCACAAAAAGCATATAGTATATTTGCTTGTAGCACCTTGTGAAGAGCAATGCCTCGCAAAAAAAGGAAGACCGCAAAGGAAAACTTTCAGAACGCAGGGGCTTGGGCTGCGCGAAGCCTTTCCTCTTCAAGACGGCTTTGATTGGGACGCACCATGCCCGAGACGAGGTTCTACACGGGGGCCCCATGAAAGTAACTTTCAGCGAGCCTTTGCAATGAAAGAAAGGATCAGCTCCTGCACCCACGCTTTGCTTCCTTGAGCAACTTCAGGCACTGCAGCATCTTGAGAGTGTTGTTTGGCTACGCGACTGCATTTGGGTTCATCCGTGCTCAAGTCAGGGACTCCTTGCAGCAGCTCTATCGCAGGTTCTTGATCAGCTTGGGCTGCCCACTTTTTCGGGTGATATGCTTTGGTTGGGTATGCTTGGGCAGAGATTGTGAACCTTTTTGCTCCCCAAGCTACCGAAGCCGCCTGTGGCACAGCTGGTCTCATGGCTCAACTAAGAATCCTTGGAACTGAAGCGATCGGCATTGAAGGCGCCTGCTGTGAAGCTTGGCCTGACTACGCCTCGGCGCTTCAAGGCACTGGAAACCTCAAGACTAGTAGAAACGGGCGCTTTCAAAGAAGCATCTTGTGGGACTTTAGTCTTGTTTGGCCTCCGTACTTTCGAGGCAGCGTCTGCAGTCACCCGTTGACCTCCTGGCTCCTCGACGCGCACTTGTCCAACACTCCACGTACTTCTAGCGACCTTCTTCGACAGCTTGGGCCAGGTTGACCAGGGCGTGGCTAGGCTCCCAACTTTGCTTTCAATCCTATCTGAAAGCTCAGCAGTGGGAAGCTTCTGCGGAGGTGGAGGTTGCCCCTCTGTTGCCTCAACCTTCCTTTTCAAATCCGCGGCTGTGAGCGCGTAGCTCTCGAAGTGCTGATATCCTGATCCCAGAACAGGTGCCACTACCGCGTCCGTGAAAACCTTGTCGTCTGTCTGCCCCGGAATGAAGGAGCGCGCCAAGGCGAAAGTGGCGTGCGTGTTCCATCCCTTCCGCTCAAGCGCAGTCACACACGGGTCATCCAGCCCAATAGTCTTGCGCCTGCTCTTGAAAACTGGCACCCGAATCAACCAGAGACATGGCAGCTACTGGCTGAGCACACCGTCACTAAGGCTGACCACTTCTTGCTACTGCTCTTGCCTTGCAATTTAGAAAGCTCGTCCTGACCCTTGGCCACAATCTGCAACGCCTGATCAAGAGTCGAACAACCGATCCATTTGTGAGAGCGGGACGCATCCGGGTCGAATTTGTGAGACCGAATGGCGAGATACATGCCTTGAAGCCTGTGAAGAACTTCTGTTTGCGCATCACGAGAATACGTAGAATTCAGCTTGTCAGGTCAAGGAGGAATGTGGCGTCAGGGAATGTGGCGTCGGAATGCGGCGTCAGCCAGGAAAGCGGCGTCAGGGGTGAATGCGGCGTCAGGGATTGCGGAGTCACAATGCGGCGTCAGCCGAAAATATTGCGCCAAAGAATGTGGCGTCGGAATGTGGTGTCAGCCGGGAATGCCGGGAATGTGGCGTCAGAGAATGTGGCGTCAGAATGCGGCGTCAGCCGGGAATGCCGGCGTCAGGGGAGAATGTGGCGTCAGGGAATGCGGCGTCACAGGTTTTTGGAATGCAGCGTCAGAATGCGAATTCAGCGTCAGGTGGAAAAGCGCTGGCCCTTTTGCGGCAGCCCTGCATTAATGTTTTCATCAGCATAACCATCTCAAACTAAAACGTTGGCGAATACTCCTTCGTGGGCGCCTGAGGCACCGGTTTGTCTCCAGTCCAGCTTAGCCTGCTGGTCCGTACTCTTGTCGCACGCAGCCATGACGCCAGCGGGCGGGGCCACTCAGGCATGCCGACGGTGAGCTCCCTGTCCGGGGTCAGCTTCTTGCCGATGCAGGTGAGGCGTCCCTTACCGCTAGCTGGCTGCCTGCCGTCGCAAGCGATAACGCAAAGGTGGTGCGGCCCCGGGCGTTGCTCTGGCGCCGTCGCGATCGGCGGCTCCCGCCTGTGCCCTGCCCTCGCGGCCCAAAGGCGAGCCGTGCTCTTGTGGACGACGAGGTGCAGCTGCCGCCGGTCGGCGTCGACTCCCGGCGACATCGACTCCCGGGTGACCGTCTGAAAACGAAAATCGATAAATAAGCAGGTTCTTAGGGGGGATAGACACGGGCGACGGAAAAAGGCGCGCGACAAAAATTCACTCAAGACCAAAATAGACAAGCAAGCTTTTCTCGCATTCGTCGCTTCCACGCATAATCAGCTGGTTTCCTGCCCAGCATTCCAGCATCGCAATCCATGTGGCTCAACATGTTACCTTGCTTGACGCTGCGTTTCCTTCCGTGCAATGAAGCCATTTGACTTTCACACGAACAGAAAGGCGCGGAGGGAAGAACAAATTCAACAAATTGATGTAGCTTTGTGCGACGAAACTTCCGAACCAGAGCTCCGAACCCCATTCCACCGCCTTGCCGCAAACACGTTCGAACATATCACGAGCATGTGTGTCCCGGCCGAAATTCGGTTTGGTCTTGGGATTGCTTGCGCAGGTGACCAATTGTGAAGGTTTGTAAGCATCGCCTGCGAAACTGGTCCGCTAACCAACAATGTGTTTCCGACCCTGGCCCTTGCTAGATGCCACAGTGCGGGCAGTAGAAACCGACAGCTCATGAAAGTGCACCCCAAGTGTAACAACATCACGCTCCACATTGTGTTTTGCAAGGTGCGCCTTGCCGATGCTACGCCTGCGTTGCTACGGCTGAGTTTGAGGCGTGCGCAAACAAACAGAGGTCGGCATGTTCGTTGTGTTCAGGGCGAAGTGCACGAAGAAACAGCGCCGATCACTCCAAATCCCCGAGCCCCGCGATCCATGGTTTTAAAGCGAGAGCAGAGAACCTAGCGGATTTTCTGCTTCGAGGTTTCTGTATGCATTTTGTAGCGCATCAGCAACCCCCCCAATTGAGCGCTGCTTTGACGGGCCTGTTGTCAGGGGCAGTTTGACATGCTCATGCGAGTTGGCTTGCACGTGCCGCAGCTTTGGCTTTAAAGTATGGCATTCTTTCGTGGCTCCGGCCAAAGATGCAGATTCCCCAAGAAGAGTTGGCCAGCAACATCCTGCTGGATGAGGACAGCCAAGACAGGCCCGAGGTGTCAGGATTACGGCACCCATTCTTCGAGTCATCACTCGGCACTGCCAATCTTCTGGGACTTGGCAGTGATGAGAGCCGGGGACGGACGGCGCACCAAAGAGTAGACGTTGAAGCGCCAAATCGCACCCCCACTCGCACCCCGTCGCCGGTGTATCAGTATGGCGGGGTCATGAAGAGCTTCGGCGGTGAAGCAGACCGCATGCCCAGCTTCGCGCCGGTGCCGAAGAGCTCTTCGTTGCCGCCGGACTCCGCGCCGCCCAGCTCCCCCAACTTCCCGTCGTATCCCTCCGCGCCGCCCCTGTGGCGCGGCTTGAACGCCCAATCCCCGGCCTACTTTATGAACGCGGGGCAGGTGCCGTCGGCGCCTTCCACTTCGAGCCAGAAAGAGGTGTCGAAGCCTATGCAGTGTCTGGACCGCCAAGTCCCACGTTTTTGGTTTGTGGTTTCACTCGCTACTCACTTCCTGAGTTCCTAGACTTTAGTCACTTTCCGGGTTTGAACCATTTTAGTGGTACTCAAGGAGTTTTCACTTTCTTTGGCCCACGCACTTGGGAAGTCAGATGAAGGGGACATGTAGGGAGCCCTGTTTGGTATCAGACATCAGCTTACTTGGCCCGCATCTTTTTGACATCGCCTCAAATGAGACACATGGCTTCTCCAAGTTAGGGGCGCTTTTTAGTATCGCCTGAAAGGAACTGGCGGCACCCAACCCCGCATAATGGGAGTTTGTCTCAAATTCGATGTCGAACCCCTTTAAAGCTTTGGTTGGCAGAACAAGGGAAAACCAGCAGGACCTCTTTTGTGAAAAAAGAAAACCATAAGTAAAATCAAGGAAAAACCAACAAGACCTCCTTTGTCAAAAAAAGAAAAGCAGAATTAAAATCAAGGGAACACCAACAGGACCTCTTTTGTCAAAAGAAAGAAAAACAGAAGTAAAATCAAGGGAAAACCAACAGGATCCGGACACGGACCTCTCAGTGGCATATATTCTGCAGTTTTCTAGGAGCCAACAAATCCCATCCCCGGAGCCGGCTGCTCGTTCTGAGCCTCGCCGAGGTTCGATCCCGGTGTCATCTCCATGGTGATGGCGCTGCAGGGAGCGGGCGGAGCTCTGGGCGCGGAGCCGCAGTCCAGAGGTGGGGCTTGGGTTGGGGTTTTTGGGGGATTAGGGGGGTTGGTTTGGGGAGGGGGGTTTGGGTTTTGGGATTTTGGGGGGTTGGTTTGGGTTTTGGGTTTTGGGGGATTAGGGGTTCGGGAGAAAGTGTCGGGGTTTGGGGGTTTTGGGGAGGGGTGCAGGGTAGACATTTTTCGGGGTGTAAGTCGTGTTCGTGAAAAGGGAGTAACTCAAGGAACCTCTCATGAAAAAGCTTTTGACTACCGCGAGGTGGGTTTATGTCCTTCATGTGTCCCTTTTCAGGTAGCTCGAGTCAAAGGACACCAAACCCAAGCTCTCAAAAGAAAGGCCGGGCCAGACTTCGGGCAATCTTTCCGACCCAGAGCAGTGCTATCTTTTCTGATACAATGTGTTTGTTCTTCACCTATCTGGCCACCACTTTGGAGATGTCTTGCAAATTTTGTGGCAGGCGCGGCATTTCCTGCATCTCGGTGTACGTTTGCGTAGCATGGGCAGCATTTTGTAGCAGTCTAGAGGGATTGGATGTTGTCGAGCGCGCGGCTGGGGGCCCCGTTTTGCGTGACAGGCGCAGCACTTTGGAGATGGCTTGCAAATTTCGTGGCCTGCGCAGCATTTCCTGCATGTGGGTGTACGTTTGCGTGGCATGGGCAGCATTTCGTAGCTGTTGGCTCCATCTCCAGCAGGTCTGCTTGCGGTGCGTTTTGTGTGGTTGCATGCTCTGTGGGGGCGCATGCAGGTCATGGAGTTGAGGCGCCTGGAGATTCCAATGCCGTTCTGGTTCTCAAGGCGTTTTTGGCGTTTTAGGCGTTTTGCGGTTTGTTGCGTTTTTTTTGCGGGCGTTTGCCCCTTTTTTGCGGGGAAATGAGGCTCCATACTGTGGACAAAATTGCACGACTTGGAAACCATGGGAAACCACTCATGGTTGGTATTTGCAGGGTGCCGGATTTCGCCCGCCATATGGGGGCCGCACCTCGAGTCGCGCCAGGTGCGCCAGGTGCGCCAGGTGCGCCAGGTGCGCCGGGTGCGCCGGGTGCGCCGGCGCCGGGTGCGCCGGGGCAGTCGGAGAGGGACAAGGAGGCCAACTCCCTGAGCCCCAGCCAGGCAGGCGATGTTCGATGGGCCCAAGCTGTGGGGTGGTCCTTCGGGTGGTCTGGTGGAAGGGGGCCAGGTTCAGGGCCTGTTGGTTGATGGGTTGCTTGGTCGGTCGGTCCGTTCGGAAAAACCAGTTTGGAAAAACCAGCACTAGCACAAAGCCGGCCCTAGCCAACGTTACTGGGGGCGGTTTTGAACGACCACTTCCTGGCAAAGACAACGGACATCCGGGCTGAAGGGAGCCCGAGATACGTGAAACTTGCAAGTTTCCATGAGGAAGAGAGGCCAAGAGTGTCTCTCTTTTTTTCTTCCATAAATGATTCCCATTACGGGAACCATGACTTAACCGAACATAAGCAAAAGGTGTTGACCATGGCCCAAGGTTTTTTCTCTCCCAAGTTTTTTTCTCATTCTTTTTTGTGGTGAGTGGAACCGCTGGCAGGCGCTGCCCCCTGGCCCCCAGCCCCCGCGGGAGGGCAAGAAGAGGCGGGGAATTTTTCGTGTCGTTTTGGGGGAAAAGGCCAGAGGCTTTGGCGGCTCCAAAGCCAGGATGCGGCTTTGGTGGAATTTACTTTTGTAGAATCTTCAAAGAGTACTAAAGGATTACTATAGAAAAGCCAGCAGGGTGAAGAGCAGGTGAAATCCAGTTTTCCAGACAGCCCAACACAATACCATGAAACACCTAAAGGCGTAGCTCTATCCCAAAATAGTCCCATGAAACCCCCCAAAAGAGAGTTTCGACTGCCCTAAACAATCCCATGTTGGGAGGGTAGTGGAAACATGTGGAAACCAGTTTGCGACCGAAAACTTTTGTTTTCAGTCGGCCCCGTCTCCAACCATTTGATGCCCAGTGGCTGAGACGGACACTGAGTATCAAAATGCAAAGTACGGTGGATACCCGAAATACTGCAAGTAAACCAGGGCTAATTTTAATGGGGGACTCTGTGGCGGACACCATTGAGGTGGGGATTTATGTCCACCAGCCACTTTGAGGTGGACCCGTATTAACGCAGAGCCATTTAGACATGGCCATGAGTCAAAACCACCTATTTTGATGTTCCCCAGGTTTCAGGGTTTTGACCCAGCCACATGGACCCCTTGGTTCTGGTGGTGCCAACCGGGGAAAAAAACAAACACACTATATATATATATATATACCCCCCCCCCCCTCCCCCCCCCTTCCCCCGCCCCCTTCCCCCCAAAAAAGAATATCCCAAGAATTCGGAAAAAACAACACAAAACGACGGCCGAGGCACCGCCGGGAGAAAGCGGAGGCCAAGGCGGCGCCCCAGCAGCACGCGCCCGGGGAGATCGCCCCCGGCTCCGCCAGCTTGAACACGCGAGCGGCGGAGAAAGGAGGCGCGCCGGGCGCCGGGTGCGCGATTGGGGGGGGGGAGATGGGCACTTTGAATCCAGAACGTGGGAAACCATAAGGTGATTAGTTGCTTGAACATGTGATTAGTTGCTTGAACATGTGATTAGTTGTTTGAACATGTGATTAGTTGCTTGAACATGTGATTAGTTGTTTGAAATTTTGTGGATGGTTGCGAAATCCATTTCGCAGCACTTTGAAACCATCATTCTAGGGTTGCTTTGGTGGTGCAGGATTTTGTCCATGCAGTATGTCCTTGGTTGTCGACACCGTTTTGGGATCCCATTTTGGTTGGGAGGTGCATTTTAGAACCCATTTTAGAACCCCCTTTCACTGGGGATTGGGATGTTCACTCGGGGTACGGGGGGGCCTTTTCCGCTGTTTGTGGGATAAGAAACCCTTTTGGGAGGCGGTTCATTTCAGTCGAAAAGGCAAACCATGGGCATGGCCCCATGGCGCGCTTGTGGCCGCGCCTTCAGGATTCTCTCCGGTGACCTTGCAAAAGCTGCGGTTGCAGTCTGAAGTCCCAACAGCAAGGAAAACATGTTTGTGAATGAGAGAACCTCATGCGCACAAACAAAGACACTCCCTGGATTTTGGATTCCTGAGCGACGCAAAGGCGAGCACTCGCAAAAAGGACGCATCCGATTGGCTTGTGCGGCAGGCAAGGGGGACAGGAGACGACGTGGTGGTGGAGGTGGTGGTGCTCCACACGTAGAGGCGCCTTACAGCCAGGTTCCCCTTGCGAGTTTCCAAGATATGAGTCTTTCTCAAAGTGGATGTCGGACTCCTCTTGGCTGGTATGCACAGGGAAACCCAAAGGAAACCAACCGATTTGAGGGGACCACCTCGTTTCAAGGCAAGGGAAGGTGTCCCACCACTGGTTGTCGGCCAAATCTCAGGCGGAGGAGCGACCGAAGCCGAAACCGCAGACCAGCAGTCCCCTCATTGAGCATTTGAAGGCAGGGCGTGGAGCACTTCAAGTATTTAAGTTCTTTCTTTGAACATCACTTGCTCGCCGTTTCTGTTGGGCTGGACGCACGAGGGGCCCAGCAGCTTTTTTAACATTGTGTCGCGTCCGCTTCGCCTTGTGCGAAAGCTGTGGCCTGCGGCTAACATTGTGGGACCAGAACGGTCCAAGGGGTCTGCAGCCGGGGCGGTTTAATATTGGGTCAACATTGCATTCTTCCACCACTTGATGATGCCTGGTTTGTTCGGGCTGGACTGGCTTCCCACCTGAGCCACAATCAAAACCCGGGTAGATGAAGGATAGTAAGGGCAATCCCAACCATAAATAGCTGCGGCCGCCTTCTTAATTCTTTACATGGTTCTGGGTAGGCCATTTTCATACCGGGTTTTGATCATGACTCACCTGCTGTTCGGCCCGGAAGCCATGCTTCTTCCGTTTGCTTACGTTCACGTTCCTGGTCCACAAGCCTGGGGGTGAGGGGGGGGGGTAGCCATGCCATACCTTGCGAAGAGGACTTGAAGAGGAGCTGGTGAAAGGGCAGCGCGGGCAAAGGGATTTTGTGTTCACTTCTAACAGTTACTAACATTTCCTTACAGCGCAATCTCCCTCGTGCCTTTGTGTTTTTCTTTTTTTCATTCATTTTTTTTGGGGGGTTGTCACATTCAGGAAGGACACTTTGCGAACTTCCATCAGCTTCCTTTAGGAAATGCTTGAAAGCTTCACTCTCGCTTTTTCCGACTTAGAAAAGGAAGGCTTGGCGCTTTGTGCTTTGCCTGCTTGTTCTTGTGGCTTGAGCAAGCAAAACATGATCTTTGTAGCAACTAGTAGCACAAGCAAGCCACTAATTAGTGAGGACGTTTTCTGTCGATAATACATGGATTTCACCAGATTTAGTTTGGTCCGAGCCATTTACCCAGTAACACTTTTGCCTCTTCACCTGTTTCCTTTTTGGAAGAAATCCACAACCGATGAAAGGGACGTGGAAGAAGGTAGAAGGAATCTTTCTGTAAGAAGGGCACACACACAACTTTTGGAGAGAGATGTGGGTGTGTCTTGTTTTGGGGGGACCCCCAAGCTTTTTTTGTTTGTTTGCCTTGAAGCCCACCAAAAAACGGGTTCCCCTAAACAAGACGTGAGACTCGGAGAGCTCCCACGGACTTTCTCTCTGAAGGTTCGCTTGGCGCAAGTGAGGATCAAGCTTTTTGCGTGAGGCCTTCCTGGAGAAAATCAATGTTTGCCCAACAGTGATGGAGCCCATTTTTTTAAAATCATATTGTGGATGGTCGCGAAATCCCAATTTCAGGCGCCACCGTTCAGAAGCTGAACGGAATGATTCGGGATTCCCCAACGTAGATACCCACCCACGAGCCATGGCTTCATTCCCATGGTTTCCTTTTGCGAGACTCGCGGATTCTTCCCCCAGCCATCCGCAGCATGGCTTTAAAAGCTGCTTGGACCGGCGGGCCGAAGGCTAGGGTCCCAGGGTCTGCCCACTCGGCGCCCACTCGGCCCACGCGGATCATTCGGCGCGCCACTCGGCCGCGGATCACTGGGCGCGCGCCACGCGCTTCTCGCGAGGCGAAAGAGCGGCTGGTGGACTTGGCGGAGCTGTCGCTGCACATCAGCGAGATAGCTCAAGACCAGTACGGCTCCAGGCGCGGACGGGGTCGGATGTGGAGGTCTGGGAGGTCTAGGTCTCGGATTTTCTCGGATTCTCTCGGTTCAGAGGGCTTTCATGGCTTGCACCTTGTGCAGGCAGTCTTTATGGTTCTTCTCCTTGACCTTCCTTTTTATAGGTAGCCAGGCATGATCTATTTAGTTTTTCTGCACACCAGGGCTTGATGGCTTTGTTTGCTTGCTTCTTGGGATTTGGAGGGGTGGAAGGGTTGGCAGCTTCATTCCCAGATTCTTCCAGAATGTTCGGAGGGACGATGAGACGCGGCAAAGTTCCTGTGTTCGAATGCGGGAGATGAGCCAACCAGCCAGGGCACAATTGGGGTAGTTGCAGCCGGCCCTTCCGGAGCCGCGACCCACCCCACAGAAAGATTCTCAGAGCAGTTCGGTCAGAACTCTTTTCTAAGCCTCTGCCTCCAATGAGTCTAAGACCTTCAGTGCTGGAACGTTGGGGGGTGCGTTGGTATTGTGCAGGCGTGGGGAGGGGCAAGTTTCAAAAGCGCAACAAAAAGCCGACTCAGTTGCACAGGAATCTCAGGGGGTTCCCTTTGTTGGGTTGTTGTGCAGGGACTTTCCTGAGTATGTCAGGAAAATGGTCTTCAATACCCTTTTGCCCTCGTCACATTTCCAAATTGAAATTGGTGCAGCGCACGCATCGGACACTTTTCCCAAAGCTGGCTGTGTTCCTTTTGGTTTCCCTTCGACATCCAGATGGGGATCCATGTGGGTTCCCCGCATGTGTGAAGCTTAGCTGAGTTGCTTCCAATGGTTTTCTAGCTGGAGAAGATAAAATGTTCCAAGAAGAGGACTCAAGATAAAATGTTCCATTTGGCTTGCCCCACACCATCCCACGAACAGTGCTTTCAGTACCCCCCCCCCTCCCTTGCGCTGGGACGAGCGCGGACTGGCATGTCCCTGAGTTCCTGCGCTTTGTACGATTTGGAAAGGGAGTGTTTGAGGCAAAAAACAAACAATTACTTTCATTTGGCCGACCAGTTCGAAAACTAACACCTTGTGTCTTTAACCCGATTTGCGCCTTTTTTACAATCTGCAAACAAAAATGAAGAACAACAGCGCATTGGGACCCGGCCCTTCCCCCACTTTTCTTCGCGTGCCCCAGCACCATCTCAACTGGCGCCCTTGGATTTCCCACAATCCCCACCTCGAAAAGATGTTTTGACCAACCGACTTCCAGTTCTGCATTGGGAGAAAAAAAGAGAAAAGCGACCACAGTGTTACTGTTGGGTGGTGCCCAAGCACCTGGAGATACCGAGAATGAAGAACAACAGCGAATGAATTAGGCGCCCCCCCCGCTTGGTTTCCCATGCCCCAGAGCTTCGACCGCAAAAGCAAGTCGTCGAGGTTGTCGCCACCTGTCGATTCGATTCGACTCGACTCGATTCGGCAGGCTGATTCAGCAGAAGCTGGAGATCGCCAGCGAGGAGCAGAAGCAGCAGGCCTTCAAGCAGGTCCTCAACAAGACGCTCGCTCGGGGGGTTGGGGGGTGGGGGGGTTGGGGGGGTTGGGGGGTGGGGGGTTGGGGGGTTGGGGGGTTGGGGGGTTGGGGGTTGGGGGGTTGGGTTGTTGGGGGGTTGGGTTGTTGGGGGTTTGGGGGCGGGTTGGGGGGTTGGGGGGTTGGGGGGTTGGGGGGTTGGGGGGTTGGGGGGTTGGTTGGGGGATGGGGGTTGGGGGGTTGGGGGTTTTTAAGGGGTTGGGGGTTGGGAGCTGGGGTTGTTGGGGTTGGGGGGATGGGGGGGGGGCTTTGGGTCTGCGTTGATCTTGCCCACCCATCGCCACAGGAGCATTCCGCAGTTGGAGTCATCAGAGAAAGAGTCCCTCTGGTTGGATTGTCACTTGTCATATTGTGTTCCGATTTTTGTCTTCTCCTTAGAGTGTTGATTTACAGAGAACTTATTGTATTTACCAGTATATATGTATATATGTATATATATATATATGTATTCTTGGTATTGCCCAGTACAGCATTCTTAACACTCAATCCCATTCCGGTGCCTTGTTCATTTCAAGTGGCCCGTAGGAATATGGAAGGTCCAAATGCGGACTTACAGCTTACGTACCATCCTGCGTGGAACAGCCGGGAAAAGACTTGGGCCAAGGATGTCTCAGCTGACCACAGACGTGTTCGGCAACTACGTGATTCAGAAGTTCTTTGAGCCGCTCGGCCGTGAAAGATCCTCTTTGAGCCCTGCAAAACAACCTGCTGCGATCAAGGAAGCGTTTTTTGTTTGTTTTTTTTTTTGTGGGGGGGGTTGGAAAGGGGTCGTTTTCGAGTGTTTCTTCCGTGCTTTTCGACCGTTTCTTGCGGTTCTTTTGAGCCTCCGGCCGTCTGGTTTCGCAGCTTGGCACCGATCCTCGCCCTCTCAGCCGGCTTTTGCAACTCTCGGCGTCTTGTGGATTTTTCATTTTTTCCCGAAGAGTCTGCGGCTCCGCTTCCAGTAGTTCGCCGGAAATGTCTCGCAAACCCAGGAATCAACCCCTATAAATCTGGGTTCCCATTAAGTGGTGACTGTTTCTCGACATTTTGTCGGTGGTGTCACCATTTGGTCGGTAATGCACTTTGATGGACCCAGTCAATCTGTGGTTTCCCTTGACCCCTCTGCATGTTGGGCTTGAAGTAGTTTGCCCTTGATCGGGCCAGTGGGCCCTGTTTCTTGTGGAAAACTCGATTCCCTACAAATCCCCCCTGAACTCCAACTGGCTCTCAAAGGCCGATTGTGTGAACCCATCATATGAACGCCTTTGTTTGGCGTGTGCGTGAATTCACCACAAGCCATGGCTCAATTATGGACAGCCGCCGCGAGTTTAGCAACTGGCAGCCCGTTCAGTTTCGCCCGCCCATTGTCTGAGCTTCCGGGTTGGCACTGGCACCTGCGAGTCTGTGTTTTTTCTTTTTTGTTTTGGTCTGCGCTTCAGGGCCAAACAAAAGGACATGATTTTGCGGCTCCCCTCCCGTTTGAGACTGACCAGTGGGGGTTCATAGCCTTTCTGTCCGGAGAGAACTGAAAATGGGTGGGTCTATGAGTCAAAACAGGGGGACTCCGACTTTTCCTTTCTCTCGGATCAAAGGGGGGTGTTCCTCCAACAGTCAAAGATTCCTAAAGAAGAGACTCTGGGTCAACCTGTCCAGTCATAAGGGAGGGTGCACCGGCCTGTGATTTGATTCTTGAGGCCCCTTTCAACAGAAGCAATGAACAGCATGTTGAAAGTCTATGCGCTGGTCGCTCGGAGCAAGCGATCCTTGGGCCAAACCCTTGTGTTTGTGAAATCGCGAAGCACTTTTTTGGCTTCAAGTCGGCTTTTTTTGTTTTTGTTGGGTACAAGTCCGGGTGTGGTTTAAGCAACCCCACCCTACTTTCTCTTCTTGCAACCGCTAGATGAATCGATGATTTGGGTGAAAACATAACTCTGTGGTGGCAACCCAACCTTCGTGGTACTCAATTCAGAGACCCAGCATTGCACTTGTGACCAGAAGCGGCGTCAAAGCCGCGTCGAATCTCCGCCTGCCGCGAGGTACGGAAATGCGGAGCAGCGGAGGATCTTGGCGGAGCAACTGGTGGGCCAGGTGCTGAAGTTGTCCCTGCAGATGTACGGGCCCCTCGGACAGGAGTTCAAGGGTTCTGGACCAACCAGTGGGTGGCATTTTTTCTTTTTTTGGGACCCTGAGCGCTCAAGAGACCACAAATGAGACTCTTGGGAGGTAATCCAGGCAATTCCCAGAGCTGGAAGGCTGGGGAATTACACTTACACTCAAATGGGATTTGTATAAACTTGAGAAAGTGGGCCAAAAGGTGATGGTACGGCTTGTTGCTTCGGTGCAAAAGGAGGGAGATTTCGGTCCACAGCGCTCGAGCTAGCTTTGAGCTTCAAAGGAACTCCAGTGGCACCGGAGACGCGGACCTTTTTCCGTTTAGGCCACGTTTCAATGCACAAATGGGGGCATAGCAAGTCCCTCTTGCTTGGATGTATGAACGGCGGCGGGGTCCCTGATGCTTTTCTTGGAAACGGCTACTGCTTAATTATGAGAGTGCCCTTTGAAACGTGCTTTCGGCCGACTTCCCGGAGGAGCCAGTTCCCCGTTCTCGCTGGAAGACTAATAAAGGGTAAGCCGAGTTGGAGCAAGTTTACAGGCGTTTTGGGAGCCTTCGCTCAAGCTCCCCATGCTTTGGTCCCAGGAAAAAATAATAAGATTGTGAGAACGTGTTTCTGCCTTCTTTGCAAGAGGCATGTGGCACGCAGACTGAAGAACTTTTGTGAAGCTTCCTTCGGTGGCCTCAGGTGCCGTGTTGTGCAGAAGGCCTGAGCATGTCGCTTGCTGAGCGAGGGAGGTGGTTGGCTCATTTGAGTCTCGCACGGGTTCCCCAACTTGCAAAGAGTGGCAATGGGAATGAAGCAGCCTACCAAACCTATGGCACCTGTGGTTTCCTTATGGGGTCATTTCCAGCAGCAGGGTTATTCCCAAGACAGAAATCCCAGGGACACATCCCAAACACAAGCTGGAAGCAATCCAAAAACAAATCCAGACCCTCCCCAAAATCCAAGCTTCCCGAGCCTGCCATGCAGGCCCTGGACAGCGTCCCTATCGAGCAGCAAGTGCTTCTCATAGGGGAGCTGAAGGGCCATGCCGCGCGACTGCAGTGGGAGAGAAGACCCAACCCTTGCTTGGCATTTTTTCCCCTTTTTTTCCCCTGGTTCTGCTCGTCTTTAGCAGGGTGCTGAAAAGCACTTTTTTTTTAAAAAAAAAAAACCATACCAAGGGTTTTGGTGCGCTTCCCAGCCAAACTCAACCAAATATTCACGGATCTTGGGTCAAAACTGCTTGACGTGACATCCGGGATTGGGCGTCTGCGTATGCATCCTCTTTTTCCCCCCCAAGGTCATCAAGTGCATCGAGGACCAGCATGGCAACCACGTCATTCAGAAGTGCTCCCTGGCGCCGAATCAGCTACGACAGCTGCCGCAGTTTTAAGGGGCTTCTCAAGTTGCTCCCCCTTGTCAGTGCCATTTGGGCATGTCTTTTTCAGGGCCCCCCAAAAAGTTGTGGTTTTCCTTTTGGCTTCCTTCAAAGCATCCAAAGACGGGTACCCTCAGAAAACGACAGACCCATTTAGAGGGTAACTTGCAGGATGTGATGGACCTTTGCGCTGGAGCTCAGGCATCGAGCGACTGCCCACTGATCGCATCGGCTTCATCGTCGATTCGTTCAATGGCCGCGGCCTCGCGGGGAGGAGCCGGGAAAAAGGGCAGCCTCAGAAGAGACGCTCACCCAAACTTGCTGGTTCTCAGCAGGGAATGAGAAATTCAGTGACCCCGAGAAAAAACCATCTCTTCTGGTTTCCTTTCAGGGCATGTTTATTGTGGTTCAAACTGGGTCGTTAGTACGTGCCTGTCGTGCCAGCAAATGGAATTGGGGACCCCCACCCCCCTCCCCCTTATGGTAGGGGGGATGTTTCTTCTATGCAACGAGTTGCCGGGTTGTACGTTCAATGCAAGGGCCATCCATGAGGTCAAGCAGCGCGGATGGCCAAGCACTGCCTCCTGGCAAAAGAAAAAGGGGTTTGCGAGTTGCAGCGGCACGAAACCACGCAAATCACGCTGGAAATGAAGGCAGTGGGCAGAGTCCCTGTGGGACTCTGCCCACTTCTGCATGTAATGCTGACACACAGAGATGAACACGTTGTATGGATATGGCGGACAAGACTCGCAGGCCACTTGTGGTGGGGTGGGCGGGGGTGACTGAGGAAATTCGTCTCAGATTCGTCTCGCGCTCGACGAACGAGGCTATGGCTGCCGGGTGA